AACGGGTGTAAGGTTGTCGGTGTGTTCATATGTTTTCACAGAATATTAAAAGTTGATTATTTCTTAGCTAGTTTTCAGTGCGATACTGCCCAGGGTCAATCGAAGTTATTTACTTGCATGTATAGTACGCTAGGGGTCTGCTGTAGCAGCTATCGTATTCTAATTTGGAACGTTAACATATGTGGACGCATTTTTTCCTCACACCAAAAGATTGGCCTAAATTTGTTTTTTTACGTCAATATCCTTTCCACTTAAAATTCATCATTTCTATATCGCGTGATCGCATGACTTATTCGATGTGCATGCGGGATATATTTATCCCGCGTTTGAAGTTGTAATATACATATGTACATAAATATGTATATATTTATACATATAGGTTTACGTGGACAGCCTCATTATTCATGACAGAAGGACTGTAATGCTATTCTATTCTGCTAGTATCGATAGTTTCTTCCAAATCTGCCATTAAAAAAACAATATTTCATCAAATAGTGTACTTTAGTTCACTTTTCTGCTTTCCGTATTCAGTTTGGTGGCCAATAAGGAAACTTTGATGCGCAGTGGCCATTTTTGATCGATTTGGCTTTGATCGAAAGCTGAAGCAATAAAACAAGCATTTTTCTCACCCACAGTCACTTTCTTACTGACTGTTTACGAAGCTCCCGTGGGTTAAAATATGTATGCTGCAACAGCCCTCAAGCTCGATTAGGTAAACATCTGCAACCTACATTAGGTTGAAAGTAAGCGGTTCGGGCCAGTTACTTGTATTCACGTGACTGTCCTCCAGTAGAAAACCCCAGATGTCCACGACGCTGCCTATAGACCACATCTCAGGTCACTGTGAACACACAAATGTACTTATGTTCAAAAAGGAACGATTGCTTCATACAAATTTAGAGTTTGGATTCTTCTAAATAGGACAAAATCGATAAGTTCATGTTCACTGTCACGCTGCTTAGTTCCGGATTTTCGGACGACATTTCGCTTGCTCAATGTTTAATGAATTATATTGATTAAGCCATTTGCGTACCCGCATAATAGAGCCATAAAACGTTTTCTTGCTATGGCATAGTGGTAGCGACGCTCGGGGTCATTTGTCCACTGAAAATATTCGGTTCATGTACGCTACAAAGTTCAGAAGACGTTCTTCTCCAGCATCATCGCCCAAAAGTTTATGAACGCAGCGTAAAAGAGGCTCCCATTTGGCATCTTAATTTTCAAAGTGAACATCCTACATTGTGTGGTAAATGATCGACAATTTGTCCGAAGTAAGCTGTGATACTCTAGGGGAATGGGAGCTTTTCGAGTACTTGTTGGCAAATTCGCAAGCAGTTACCATGGGAAATTTAACTACCGTCATTACCAAAACTGGAAAATGTTCCCGACTAGAAGGAGCATTTCTGGTGCGATTTTGTGGGCATGCGTGTTTGCTTGGTTACTTTGTAGAATCCAGCGTATCAGTAACTTGGGGTTTATCAGTTATCAGGCCTCTGGGTTTCTGTTGACGCATCAGCAAATAAAGCAGTGATTCAGCGGTAGGTACAGTTATTATAAAATGGATATCGGTTTGCAATATCTTTCTACGTAAATATGTTTCAATATGCAGCCTGAAGAATAACTCTACTAGACCTACGAGATTTTCAAATATTCACTATGGAAACTGCTTATCAGAAAGCGGGTGTACAACACAAACACATAGTGGTTATTCCGCTCATAATTCCTGAATTGCGAAACAAGAATTGCACTGAAGGAGTACATTTGGGTGTGTGCATCTGCACAGATTGTCGCTTTTCCAGAAGTGAGCAAAGGCACCAATAATGACACGCTGTTTGGCTACTCAGCTCAATATAGATGAAAGGCATGAACAAGTAGGAAACAATTGATCACCACTTTGACGCCTTTGATTGGGTAAAGTCACCATCATAAACTCGGTGGAAGCTCGCGAGCTTATGAAATCCGACGGGTTTTTCACTCTAGCATAGTGTAAAAAGTGTTTAGGTTTTAAAAATATTTCTCCTGAATTGACTGTTACAAGTCAATTATTTGTCCCTCCTTAATATACAGTCAACCTTCAGCTGTAGTTCCAGATTGACTCCATTAGAGCGGACAAGTGCAGAACAGCAGACAAAACTCTCTCGTTGAACAATATGCTTTTGTACCATTTTCGACCCTTTCCACAGACCACACCCAAAGTATTGAGTGGCAGTAAGCTGGTCTGTATTGTGTTCCCGTCTGGAACTGATATACCTATGGTAACAGAGGGTAATGGCAAAAATCAATCGTTCAGCCTAACACCCTTTTAGTGCCTAGCTGCTGTGTCAGCCGAAAGAAGCACGAGGGCTGCGTTACTAGCAAGTTGTTTAATCCCAGACAAGTGTAGTCGCGATGCCGGGGTTGTGTCCGAACCAAGAACTTTGGACGTCCTCTCTGAAACCAAAGTGATTACTGGTGCTTCAGTGCCACATCCATCTTCTAATGTTTGACAGCTCAGATATAAAAGAACGAAAGTTGCTGTTCAAGTGAATCTTTTCCACTTACATCCTGCCAAGCAGAGCCCGGGGATGTATACACGTTCAGTCGAGATTGAAAACAGTTGAAAACGGTTAGCGATTGCACAGTGTTACTGGGGACCGTGCTCGGTAGGAAGAGCTAAATCCAAAACCCTGAGTTCCGTAGAACTTCATGTTCTGTTGTCCATTTCCATCAAATCAGGCGCTCAAAGTAATCATCATTTATGAAGAAGGGAATTTGGATTATGTCGTATTTCGTGAAGCCTAGCAGTCTCTGACTGGTTTGTCTGCCTTTTTTGTACAACCCGGACATAGAAAAAACAGATCTTTCCCTTTTTTACTTATTCTGCTATTACCGCATGAGAATCTGAGTCGAGAGTTACATCGGTCCATAGCTTCACGGTTTATTTAAGTAAAGTTATTATTGCTATTTGCATTTTTTACCAAAGTCCATATACGATGCGCAATTCTCAAGAAACCTACCCATCTTCATTTAATAACCAATGGTGATCTGGGGTGTGTACGTAAACAATGGAGGTTGAAGTAACACAGCCCTATATTTAATGCGTTATTTAGGAAGATAATTTAGCAGTGATTTTTCGAAATCGTCTGCAGTTACGATACTCGAGGATTTACCTGGACAGAAGGCGTAATTTGTATTTTGTAGGCGAAATATATGAAATAGGGAATGACCATTCTTGAATCTAGCAAAGATAAGTACATTATTTCAAGCCAGTGGTAACTTTCAATGCCTCTACAAGACGATGGGTTCTCAAACATGCAGAATACCGACTCATATCTGAGTTTATTATTTACCCTTAATGAAAAATCTTAGTTCAGACATAATGACTTACATAGAGTTAAATGATTGTTTGTATATTGAGTCGGCATTAACATAAGATTAGGGCGAACTTCGGGTTTATGGTTTTTTCAACCGTGAAAGCTACGCGTCAGGATAGTTGGACAGACACTCATAATACTGGTACAATACCCTAATGCTTGATGCGCACCCGTTGAATTTTTCATTCTGTTTACTGGTTGTTTGACTTAGTCACTTATTCGTTCCCAAGTGTTATGCGTTTAGCTGAGATCCGAGGTGCGCTTCTGGCAATCGGATCAATAGTTGCAATGTAACGTAAAGGCGCTTTGTATCTGTGCTATTTTGTCTCTGCTTATTTGCATAGTATCTGCGGCTGAGTTTTATTTTTCACGGTTTATTCTTGGAACTGCAGGGATTAATGGTTGGAGAAATCGAGTGGCGCAGGTTCGAATCCGACCTCCGCCACTCGACTTCCCCTGTCTAGGCTTGGGCAACCTGGCAGTATCCCAGCCCTCGTGCTTCCTTCGGGTGGCATGGCAGCTAGGCACCGGAAGGGTGCTAAAGCTGAACGCTTTACATTGTGTACCTTCAATCATAGAGTAGTTTTAACGTTTGAGACCAATGAGTGTTTATACGATAAGGTTTGAGACATGGTCGATGGCCCTCAAGCAAAATGGGTCAGGAAATCACTAACTGCAAAAGATGGCATGGGACATTGAGTAAATCGCATAAGACGATTGGTCTAAAGTATTACAGAAAGTAGGGCACTCTAGTGTTGCAGTAAAAAATTCATGTCAAAGTATTATTGAAGACCTCCTAATTTTGGATGGAAGGATGGAATGCAACTGACCTGTTATACATACCGCAAGTACATGAAGAGTGCGTGAATGGATGTTTTTGTACCAGATACTAGGTTTCCAAGTATGCCCGTTTTCGTACACTACGCTTAGGGCACGACCAACATAAACATATTTCATATGAATATAGAGGTGATCAAGGCTTCGTTGTGGGCGATGGGACTCAATGCCTGACTAAGTTGTTGGTGATAGGATGTTTAACCAGAATTCGGCTACACTTCAAGTTCATAATATTCTTCAGCTGATTTGTGGATTCTAACAACTTGAAACTTGTCGATTTGTCACATCCCAGAGTAAATCAGAGAAATAACAATTTGAAAATGCTGTTGTAAATCGATTCACCTATCCCAAAGGGCGACGCCTATGGCCAAATAGATGCAATCTACTCAGTTGTGACGCCCGCTGTTTATGACGCCTGTCTGTCACTCGTTAGATGGCATGTTGCTCTTGAGCCCTCAGCTGATGATCCCTGATAAGCTGAAGGGAATTTGCTGATCAACGCCTCATGTGTTCATGTGTATACGGGCTGTGAGTATGCAGGGCAAGTTGCATAGAGGAAGGCGGCTCCAATGCAAACTAGTGTTTCAGAGTTAAGGACTCAATTCATCACCTAATACACATATTCAACGTATACCCTAAATCAGGCCGCGGATGGCCTCATAAATTATTATTCATTCTGACGGTTGTGTGAAAAATCTAATGGTGATAAGAATAGCTGATATTCAACAGGATTTGTTGAATCATATTTTGCTGTCTCTGGTGGCTCTTTTACGTTCTAAAGCAACGGCTTCATATTTTTATCCTCCTCAGGTCTTAAACAGTGCGGAGACGACAAACGACCCAAAACCGAGTGGGGACGGAGGAGGGTCTGCAAAACACGAAGAAAATGAGGAGTCTACAGTGAAGCCACAGGGTGTCAAGGGGATTGGCTTGGGGAACATATTTAGTGGGCAACCGATTCAACTCAAACATGCTGCCTTGAAAGATGTCATGAAGGATGTAAGTGTAAAAGTTTCCCATTCCTTTAACTGCCCGGAAATTCTGCAATAAAATAGTGGCCCAACATATAATGTGTACATGCATATGAACCTACAAAAAGGGGCCACTATAATCGTTTCGCCCGAGTAACAGACTTCAAATTTACGCTTCTTCGTGGCAGTCTGTATCATTAGAAAATCACTATTTAGGTGAACAGACAAGCTATTTGAAGCCCATGTGGCGCTGACATTTACGAACTACAAGATAATAGAGTGAAATAAAACTGGCTAAATCTGATTTCGTTACCCGTGATTGTTTCCTCCAAAACACCATGTCTTCCACTGGAACCGAAAAATGCGTATTACAGGAGTTCTTGAATGGTTCGGTTTGAAGTCCACGGTGGAGCAGGGCAAAGATGTCCGTAAACGAACTCGAGAATGGTTATTTGTAACGGATCTCTCTTTCCAATAAGCTGGAAAACTATCATGGAATTAGTCCCTAAGGGAATAAGACTAACGGATATGCGTGATCCGCTCGAGACACGCTTTGTAAGCTTGGTCGATATGACAGCATCCGTTTAAGCTAATCCTTGGGTAGTGGCGTGTTTTATGGGTGGCACTCAGGACGAGTAGTCGGAGGATTCTTCGGACAACGAAATTCCGATTTAAACAGAGCGGAAAACATGCTGTCATACAACCGGAACATCCAGACTCAGTGATGTATTGTGCTGTTTCGCAAATGGGTTCATAACAGTTTGTAAAGCTTCGCACATTTGAACCGTGTGCTCTCACCCAAATCGATAAAAAACACACTTTGACACAGCCAATCACTCATCATCACTATCAGTTGTGACTGATTAGCACATGACCACACGTTTGATGCCAAAGTGAAATTTTGACTAGTTACGACTACTTATGCACTTTCGACCGGCCAACTAGTGTTGCCAGATATCAACAAAATAAACCAACTGTAATCCGCAACAATCATTTCCATCCCCTAGTTTTTGTTGAATGCACCAAACGATTAGTAGTGTGATAGCGTGTTGCCACCAACCAATTTTGAAGAGACATTAGTTTGCTTTGCAACTCCATATTGTAGGTAGCTGCAACTGCCTTACAATTTGCCATCCGATACGCTTCCTTTTGCACCATTACCAAACAGGTTCTGATTATGCAAGGGTTCGCACCAGTCTGTGACCCAAGTGTTCCAAATGAAGTGGGGGCGGTAAATGTCTAACTACTGCGGACAAAGGTCCTAGATTCCAGAGAAGAAGATCCTGAATTTGTTTCCTATCAAACCAGAAGACTGTGTATTGTCTCCATATTGAAGATTTCCGATAAGGTCTGGTGTGCTTTGTCCCTGTTCCTTGGGAATTATCGTTGGAGTTTTGTGCGTTAACGTAGTCCATCGATAACATCACAGCGTTTTGGAGGCTTTTCTGCCAAAAACCTTGCGAACGACATAAATTAGTGTACTTAAAGTCCCGGCGTTTTCTTGTTCTCCTCAATCCCCATAATATTACCATCTTATATTCTCTGTCACCACTGTGTTTTGATTGACATTCATGCATTTTAGAGAGAAACGCCTAGCAGACAGAAGTCAAAAAATAGTATTCGACAAGAAAGCACAAACTACCAGAGGTGGTACAAGTCGCCTGAAAAATCCCTCCATGCTATTGGTCCGGAAGACAATTGTTCAGCTTTGTATTGCATTTCCATAGTATGGAAACGATCTCTTTCATTTAAAGAAGTCACAGGATTAAGGAGTTTGATTGACAGAACCAATTTCAGGTATTTAGCGGCTGCTACCGGACCAGTGTGCAGGAACCAATCAAAATAAGCGCGAGGAAACCCACAGTGTTTGTCTTGAGGATAGCGAGTGACTATCAGGGTTCTGCTGTTTGACCGGTTAAATTATATGCAGTGTATTAACGCTAAACTGTAGCCTTGTATGACTCACTTCGGAGAAGCTGCGAAAAGTGACTCTATCATTGGTTAAGATGATGTAACAGATGCTAGAGCTGTTCTTAAAAAATGTGGTTCTAGTAGGAAACACACAGCAACGGTCTTTGAAGCAAAAGATCAATGATGAGTGAAAATTTTAAGAGGTTGTTTTTTCAGGAGCTTGTGTCACTCCTACTTACGACTTCTTATAGATGACCGAGTTTGTTCCGGATCAACGCAATGACATAAAAAGCAGAATATTGTCTGCAGTAAAAAAGTGCAACACTCGACTTCTGCTATACAATGGACCAGCTTTAAGTAATAAATTGATTTTTCCATTACTAAGGATGATGTTTCGACTAAACGAAAGCCGCAGGGTGCTCAATCAAACGGATAAATAACAAGAACGGCCTCATACTGCAAGCACTAGATGGTACATATTCTTCGAAGGTCAGTTTCCTGGACACATATGGATTCGCGAACTGCTTGAGCGATTTCCGTTATCGCCTCCATCCTTCATCTCTTCCACTGTTTGTCAACTGGAAATGATGATTCGAAAATTATAAACATGTACTTGGCTATCGTAGGCTAGGAGCAACCAGAATTCGCCACTTGTTCAACGACCTCACATAATTCACCTAGGAATGTCAGTAGATGAAATCCGTCGTGGTTTTTTTTAAAGTGCGTTACATCCGTAACGACGCACACAGAAACACAGTTGACCGTGACTTCATATGAATTATGAAATGTCCTTGCTTCAAGAGCAGTATACACTAATACTTTAGCAGTACACCTTCGAACGCACCGCTATGATGAGTTACACAAGAAGCATTTTTATAGGCCGAATATAATTTCTTTTCCTGCCCAGAAAAGCTTGTGGACATTTTTACCGGTTAAGGTGAACAACGGGTTAACAAAACCCAAAATCAAATTTTTCGGCGCATTCCGTCTGTCTTGTCTCGGTTATTTGACACAACCAGGTCATCTACTAAGTGGCCTCCTGATATCGTAAAACCCAGTAATACGGCGTAGTCATCGCTATCATCATTGGCACCATGACATCAGTGTTCAACACTGATGCTTCACTGCCATACAACCATGACTTATTTGAAAGCTTTATTGTGAAAAAAAGAATAAAGGTGGATGGGGGAGGGACTTATTGCTAGCATAACACAATCATTCCGAGGTGCCTACACCTCCAGACATTCACTCAGGCAATCTGGACAGAAACTGACAACAAGAACG